TTTACAGAGTAGATTGCTGGATTTTTAAAATTATTTAAAACGTTTTGTTTACTTTCACGAATCTTAATGTTTAATCTGCCTTAAAAAAACAGATAATTGTAATAAAATAATCCTACTTCTAAAGAATTAAATCGTTCAACCATTTATTGCTACCAAGATGCTACTTAGATTTTCAGATGTTATTAGCTACTCTAAAGCTCCATAAGCCTGAAGGAAAAGCTGCTGAGCTGTGCCACATTCCCGCCTTTCAAACTCAACAAATGGCCAACAGGCAAGTGCATTGTTGCGGTAAAGAAAACACATACATCCCACCACATTCACCAACATCAATGCCCGTTAGATGGGGCGTATGCGCAATCGGACCAACAGTGCGTATGTGTAATATTATCGAACCTGCAGGCTTTCGCTATTTCGTTGTGGGTTTACACTGGCCAGATTGAACACAAAACACAGCTATTGCCCGGAAAATAACCATACGTCAGCCATTTTTACATAGTTTCTATGATGAATTTTCTATAAACATTTAAAAGTTGGCAACCAACAAATAGTTAGTATAAAATTTAATAATGAACGAGCGTTTTTATGGTGGGCAGCAGCGCCTTTTCAAATATGCAAATTAATTTTCACCATTCTGCTTTTTTTATGTAAGCTGTAAAATGTGAAAAATGCTAATGAAATAAAAGATAGAATGGATGCGAGGTAAAAATTAATTAAATTCATTTTTTAAAATGCTGTAGGCAATCGAAATTCCTGCAAAGGATAAATATTCAGTAGGCTAAATAACTTAAGGAGAAAGCGCTTCTTCAGATTTTCATTTAAAGCCAGGAAAAGACAACATTCTAACATCAAAGCAACAAGCTAAGGGAAAAAAGTAATAGTGTTGAAAGGAAAAATAGAAGATAAGAGACCAACACGAGGCACAGAAATGACAAAGTAGCAAAAGCAACAGCAAAAACGCAGGAAAGCACCTGAAAAGCAGATAAGTAACAAAGCGCACGAGCACACAGCACACAATCGCACTAACAAAGAGCGGTACAAATGACTGCAAAGGCCAAAGGTTGGCAACAAAAAAAATAAAAAACCACCCCAACAAAAGCAACAAACGAAAAAGGTTGAGACCATAAAGAAATGAGAGAAACTATTCCAAAGTCATTTGGCAAGGTCGCAGGTCGGAAAAGAGCAGGGCAGGGCAAGGCAGGGATAGTGGTGGTAATGGTAATGGTTATGTCAATGGGCAGGACAAGGATTCCCAGAGATGAAAGGAAAAAGAAGTGTTTATTGCTAAACAAAGCAGCAACCATAGTTTCACAATTCAAGGAAAACAAACCAATAAAACTGGTGTGGCAAACAAATAAACAAAGTGAGAGAAAGGGTTATAGGTTATTTAAATATATGAACAATAAAACACATGGGATTAAACTGTAAGCTATCAGGTTAGACGCATAAGATGTTTATTTTATTAATACAAGATGCAGATAACATAGGTATTGTTTATGGCTAAAATGAAACATGGATTAAGATATGGAATGATGATACTTTATAGTTATTCTTCTTGAACTTATATCTTTCACACATGAGTGTACCTTAATATTTATAAATTAAAGTTATTATATTCAGCATAATATAATATACATTTGACAAGGGTTTAAAAACTTTGGAAATTGTTCCCTTTCTATTTCAACCAAATTCCATTAACACTGGTAAGTCATAAGAAGAACTATTTAAGGTTGTAATAAATCTTAAGATTAAGAATCATGTTAAGTATAAACTCTGGAGATATTACCACCTTTCCTAAGAACAATCACAAGACTTATAACAACCATTTAATCACCGTCTCACTCTATTTGCTCTTTGTGGCAGAAACCCTTTTCATTCCCGTAACTATTGTTGCACTTTGAATGCAATTTCCCTTCGGGGACTTGGACTGTGCCATCACATCATCATCGTCCCCATCGTTGGTCACCCCGTTGGCCTCGTTAAGTTTTTGACAGGCCAACTAATTTCAGGGCAAGAAGGAGCAAAAGTGCCTCGAGGACAGTGAAGGGCAAACGCGAAGTGACACTTTTTCACCCCTTTGCCAAGACCATGGAGCCCACTTCAAACCGGGAGGCCAATCAATCTTCAGCCCAGAGTCCTGGCAGGCAGTTCAAGTGCTGGCCAAGCCCGGTTCACTTCATCTTCATTCATTTGGGCAATTGCCTGCCTGTCTCGCCTTTTACAGTGTCCTTTCTCGGCACTTCTTTTCCTGTTTCTCTACAATTTTTTCATTGAGAAAAATTACTACTAAGGGTGAAGGGTAGCATACTAGACTTAATTATATATTTTGCTATAGGAATAAATATTTATAAAACAATTATTTTATATATCCATTTACCAGCAGTAATAAAATAGATTTCTGTTTATAATTTGAAATTAGTTTTCCCAGTGTATTTAGGGTATTTTCCCTCCTTCAGCTTTTTGAGTGTCCTAACGACAATTGCAAATATGTTGCAATTTCCCGGTTTGGGGCCAATGGTCGAGGGATGCTTTTGCCCGTTTCTTTCCTGTTGCTCCCAGTCCTTCTCCTGGTGCTTCCCTTCATTTCCCTCTCACTCCTGACACAGGACATGGCAGCCTGAGTAGCGCCCGGGGACCACCGAAATGTGCTGCAACTGCCTTGTCCTTCTGCCTGCCCATTCTCCCAATCCCTTCCAGCCACGAAGATTGATCACAGTTGGCGCAAGTTTTTTGTAAACCCCGCCTGCATTTTTATTTCCTGCGCCTGTCGTTTAATATGAAAAATTGCGCGCAAATATTTGCAAAGCTTGCAGCATAGTGTAAGAAGGAGCCTCCCTCTTTGGCTGACTATCCTAATTGTAAGAATTTGTCAGAATTTGTTGCCAAGGGTCAGATATTAATCGTTTTTACTTTTTTCTCCGACACTGAAAGCTGCAGCAATTAGTGAGCAAAAATATCGATGTGTGAAATATGCAAATTAAATGAATGCATTAAAATAAATTAATGTTTACTGTTTGCTTGTGGATTTATCAAAAGTTTAATTCTGGGGATTTTTTGCATTATTTTGAGAGGCTTATTGCAATTAAAGTTGAAGCTTTTAAGGGATTTTGTTGAGGATTTTATATACAATTAAAATTTATGTAAAGGAATTTAATATATATTTTATATATTTACACAATAATCTGTTTGAAACTTATTTTACCTAACAATAGATCCCAATCTATTAAGTTTTCTACAGAAAAGTAAACTTTTTTAATGCGATGACCAACAAATATAATTATATTACATCTTTAAATCCCTTAATAATGAGTTGGCATAAAATTTCGCATCTATTTTTCTCATCCTGATCCTATTATCTGGCTCCCTGCCTTTTCCTGACAATCATTTTCCCACCTCCACCCACCCAACCCTGCCTCCGTTGGCCAAAAGCTTAAGCTGCACCATCAAAGGGATCAAGTGCAAGTTGGAGCACGGAATGAAATAGCAGGAAAGGATTAACCGGAGTAGCTTACCGTTATTCGAATGCACTTAAAAGAAGCCCAAGAGCTCATTGCCAGTTGTTAACTTGGCTTCATTTGCCGCAACCTTAAATACTCTTTTTCCCCTTGCTTCTTTTCCACCAAAACGGAGATAAAGAAAGAAAAGGAAACAAACTATAAACAGAAAGGGAAAACAAACCCCCGTTCCGGAAAAGCTGTGAAAATAATAAAAACTAACATTAATGCCTTCATTTTGCGCTCAACAACAGCGAAAGTTAGCAAAAGCTGGCCAGGCCGTAGCAAACTCGAAAGTGGCAGTGAAAAGACAAGAAAAAATCTTTTAGCCAAAGTTTTTCGCTTTCCTTCCTCTCGATTTTAACGCATTGCCTAAGGCTCAGGGGGATTCCCCTTTCTGAAAAAAAATCCTGGTGCGGGGAGGCGTGTCATGGGCTAACGCGCGACTGCAATTTGCCAAACGCGCAAGGATAGCGAATCGAAAAATTGGCCTTAGACCAGCAGGAATGATGGGAATTTTCGAGAGCGACAAGTTTCATGGGGGTAACAACGAACCTATATAGGGATAGATATAAATACACAGGGAAAAAAATTTTATATAATCAAAGGAGTTTAAGAATATATAAAGAGGAGAGATTTTCGATTAAGCGATGGAAATGAGTATAATGGATTTTAGTTTCTTGGTTGTAAAAAGAAGATAGTTTTGTGTTTATTTTCATTGGTCAATACTACAGTTTATTTATTCTGAAGATTTGTTTTAAAATCAAACGAATCTAAGTAGGTATTCGATCTTATTTTTTATCAAAACAAATCCCTTAAATCTTTATCCTTTATTTTCTGTGTATAAATAGCTTCACGTTGAGCGGTCTCTTTGCTCTCTAAAAAAATGAAAATTGAAAAATTGCTTGAATTGCGTTTGGCTCTCGTTTTGATGAGAATCTTCTAGCGAACAAAAGGGGTGGAAAGGATAAGCTTTGAGGGATGGGAGGATTTCTAGGCAAACATCTGCTGCATTTCCTCCATCTTTTTCCGCTAGTGTTCCATGGCCAACGCGGCGTATGAGCAACTTGCAGATCCCATCCCAGCTGACTGACAAAAGTTGGAGTGCCATGTTTATTATGAAATCCCATTGGCTTTGGTCTTTGCATTCCTCCTACTCTCAGTGCGCCAACCCTTTTAGTTAAAATCCCATTTAATTAAATCATTAAGTCAGACATGGCCTTTAGGAAGAGTTTTCCGCATTTGTTTTAAGGGCTTTTCCTGCATTTTCCCACACACACACACACACACACAGGGAACGCAAGGAGGAGGACAACTTGGAGATTCCGTTGGGTTTAATGAGCAAATGCTCGACGCTCCCCAAAAAAGTTCTGTAATTGAAATTGCGGATGTGGCGAGGGTAAACACTGCAAATGACTTTGCAGTTTTGCAGTTAGCAGTTTTCGCTTTTTGTTTCGCCGAGAGTTTTTAAAACTTGTTTTCCGCTTTCGCCCTGCATTCCAAACTTACCTCAAATAATTTATTTATTTGTTTATTGTGGCTGTGATTCGTTCGAAGTTCGCTTAGGCGGCAAAGTTCTGTAATGGAAAACAAGTGATTGAAAAAGAGGTTATAAGCGTGAATTATAGGCATTTAACTAAAAGTCAAGGGTTAAATTATAAAGAAAAATAATACTGTCTAAAGATATATTCCTGAATGGAGTATAATTCAATCAGTTTATAATACTTTATACCTATTTAACTCTATATTTTTACCATAAGTAAATATTCTCTTGATGTAAATCTTTAAACACTTTTCCATTTTAGCTAAGCTTCACTGAGGCGACTTGATTTTCATCAGCAAACTTGTCAAGCCGCTTAATTATTATCCTTGATAGCTGCTGCAGTGGCTTTGTCATATTCTGATGACCTCTCCTGACTCCTTTCGAGCCCCTTCGGTTAATAAATCTCTGGGAAATCCCCTCAACTGCAGCTGCAGTCACAAAGTTCTGTTGGTCAAGAGGAAGGCAAGGCCCTATTCCCTTAGCTCGTACCACGTGACGTATGCGCAATGTGCCATCAGCTCGACTAAGGACTTAATTTAAAGCCGCTTTCATCAGCAGACAAATCTCAACTCCTGGACTCAATTTCGAGCTGACAGCAAACAAAAAACGAAAACCGAATAATGAAAAAGGAGGATACCCAAATCTACAGCCAGACATGACCTCCTTCCTGTCTGCATTTAATTATTTGCCGGCTCCACACACACACAGGCTGCCAGACAGATGGACAATTAGTGCTGCTGGCCATGAATTATGAGCTCTAGGTTTACTCTTTTATTTTTTTGCGCCTTTCCGCTTGTGTTCGGGTTAAGTAAATCATGGTCAGTAGGAGTTTGGGGCTCGACCCTCATAAAATCACTTTAAACAATGGCCAGAGTGAGAGAAAGCGATGCGAGAACCAACAAATGTGTAGTTAACTATTATGGCTGCCAGGAGTCGAAGCATACTGAGCTGAACTTTTGTGCTTCATTTCCGCTTCCGTTTCCGCTTGCAACTGCGACTGCGACTGCACATATGCAAAGCACAAGTGGCGGGAAGGGGATTCACCCGGTTTCGGCAGCATATGGATAATGGCAAAACGTGCCGAAAGCCAAAAAGTTTATGAACAGAGAAGACAATGTCGGCAGCGAGTTGGCGGCAGACTGCATTTGCCATTGCCATTGGAAGGCTTTCCTCTTGGCCCAGAGGCTGAATTTTCATACTGTTGCTTCTCATTTTCTCTGTTTCGCCATAAAATTTCCATGGGAGAACTTTCGGCCACTTGTTTGGCATAACATTTATGTAAAATATAAGTATATTGTTGGCAAAAAACGAAAGCATATTGGTTAAGATAGGATTATAATTACCAATAGTTTGGAATATTCACAAATATTGGCATCATATATAAATAATTCAGATAGACATAAGGGGTCCTTAAAGAATATATTTATGGTAAATCTGTCTTCTTTTACTTCTTAAATTTCACGTCCCAAATTTGATTATTATTAGGATCCCTTCAATGGCTAATAAAGCTTAGAGTTATGGACAATCTGTTATAAAAATATCTTCAAACAAAAGAAAAATAATTCCGCTTGTTATTCTCATTTTTCTTTTCGAAAAGGACAAAAGTACAGCGCAAAAGGATAAAGATTTTGCTGCCAAGCTAGACATGAAGTCACAAACCAAAAGGATGTTTCCATAGCATCAAAATGGACACTTCTCCCGCACCAGTTTGTTGTCCTGTCCATCCTTCTGTTTGTCCATTTTGTTTAACCTTTCTCTTAGCCCTTTCCACCGCCTCCATTGAGATGCTGTGTACAAGATAAAAACTCAGTTCAAGCCCACATAAAGAAGTCCAAGGAATTGAGGCCAAAATCGTGTATTGTTTTGGCCCTAAAATTGTGGGTCAATTGTTTTTCTTGTTTATTCGTCTTTCGAATGACTTTATCTGCTGTTTGTCCTGCATTTTTCGATAAATTTATGCACATTTCTATAGAATTTTATGTGACAGGCAAAGCAACTATGAAATGGAGAAAGTTTTGCATTTGCCAATTCGTTCCCTGGAGACCGGGACTCGACATTTGACAGCTGGTAAACATAAATCTAGGGAAAGGAATAACAGACAAAGTGCAAATATGTGCTAAATAAATTATAAATCAATATCTGTGGTAAAATTAATTTCTCAATTTTCTTTACAGATTGTTTGGGGAAAAATGAATTTAAATGGTAAGTGAGAAAGGCTTTGCAATGGCTTTACTGTAAAGCTTAGGTATAGGATAAAATAATAGTTAAAAAAAGAATTTTTTATAGATTTTTGTTGTTTTTATAAGGGGTATATAAGGGGATTTCTTTATGATTACCATATACACATACTTCAGAGGATTAAAGATTAATTATTTGGAATAGAAGTCCAACAGCTTAATTAGCATTTAGAACATTAATTTCCTTTCCTTAACCATTATCAGAAAGCTAAGACGACTTTAAGTACAATTGAAATGCCGAAGAATAAGGACACATATCTGCTTGGCACACACTTCAGACAGTTTGTCAACAGGCGCTTCCTCTGTGGAATAAAACTGATTGGAAGAACAGAACTCATTTTCCCAGACTTCTAATTTCGCCCCACAAAAAAAATTCCCAATGGCCGAGTGTCAAAATCAGGCCGAATTGGATACCTCCACCCCACCAGCCGTGTTGGGACACCAGTTGGTCCTGGAGCCTAGTCAGTCCTGTAAGGAGGAGTAAGGCGCAGACAACAATGGACAGATATCTGCAGCTGACATGTGTATAAACGAGACAGGACGAGGACGAGGACGAGGACGAGAAGCAGACACTCTGACAACGTGTTCCATCAACCGCACAACAAAAGGCAAAAGCAACAAACAGAAGGACGACTGCAGAAACAACAAAAACGCATCAACAATAACCCATTCAAGATGGAGCAGAAGAAGGATTTATTTGTTGGTGGACAGAAGGCATAGTAATGCATATGTTGGAGCGGGGAGGGGTTAAAAATAGGGATCCTTGAAGCCTCTGGGGGCTTTGCAAGGAGGAGGCTGATGTCAAAAGTCTGGGCTATCAAAAGATTAAATCAAATTGGTAACCCCAAGGGCCAAGAGAGCAGAAAAACATTGCCTACATGTGAGCTTATATAAAACATTTGTGAAACGTAAAGGGGATTTAAAAATATAATCAAATTACAGATTAAGGACATTTTGCATATTTTTATATATTTTAATTTTAATTATTATAGTCTTTGATTTGGATAACCTCATTTAAACTTTTTCTAGAATACAAAGTAGATTTAAAATGTTTCAAGACCTCTCAAAGATTCTCTAGAGCTTGGCTGTATATAAATATATATATATAAATTTCCACTGGTTCAACCATTTCTTCCATTTACATTACTTAGTGGGGATTTTCTTCAATGCAAAGAGGAAAATCAACCCGAATGTGTGCTTCTCCCTAGCATCAGGACACACGCAGAGAGGGAGACCAGACCCCTAATTCCGGGAAATTCAAATTTGCCAACTCATCAGCAGGATCTCGCTTCTAATCTGCTTTTCCCTTTCCTTAATCTTTCGCAAGCTCTATTAGGAAGGCAGGGGGATTTCCCTGTCTGCGGGCTGCCATTCAATTAAGTCATCATCTGTGTGCATCTTGGCAGCGTTTAACACGCAACTGGCTTCCTACACAAAAACCACCCATACCCTCCAACCCTTAACCCCATGGCCACTTGTCGAACATGATAAATTTGTGGGAAAATGTCAGTTGGTTGAATACGCAAAAAAAAGGAGAAAAAAATGAGGAAAAACAGCGAAAACCTCGTTGCTCTCGCCTAGGATGTTATTGCATTTTTAGTACAACCCCCACACCCCGCGAACTGCGTTAATTTTGCGCCAGCTGTCAAATGTCAAAATGTCAAGTGAAACAAAATTTTCGCATCATGAGAAATGCATGTCAGAGTCACACAGAGTCTCCATGGAGCGACTGGCAGTGGGATGTAAGCCAAACTAAGCGTCAGTCTGCTCCTCCACAGCACCACCACCTCCTCTTGCTCCAGATCCTCCTCCTGCTCCTGCTCACCCCACACCCATTAGAGCTCCCAAACCCCTATGGAACCACCAATAGAGTTGGCTGCCTGACTGGCTGGGAATCGTTATCGAGTTACCCAGCCGGGGTGTGCTTCATCATCATCATTATCATCATGGAACAGGGAGGAGCAGGGGAGTGGGTATCGGGGAGATCGGGTTAGAAGGGGTTAAGCGGATGAGCGGCAGGAGGTTGAGCAGCATCAACATCATGATAATGCCCATTATTAGCAGTGGCAAAGCATTTGCATGCATTTTAGAATTTGTATATTCCGCCAATGGCACTGCATTCCACCTACCATGCAGAATACACTGAGAAGAAATTAGAAGGATTATTTAGAGGGTATATAAATCTTTCAAAAAATTACTGCCACACTAAAAAGGTTATATAGATTTTATATAAGAAGAGTCTTATGACAGAACTGTTTAGAGTTAAGTTCTGGAATTCCTAGGATATATTGATAGAAATAACCCTATTATACTCTTCATATCACAAATAACTTTTTTAAATATAAGTTACACTTCCATAGAGCCTATTTTATATATTTTTGGCTGTCTAGTGTTATGGTTTGATATGGGGAAAAGCTGCGTGTCAATGGTGCCCTGTGCATTTGCGGCTGGGTAACCTCAGCCACTCCACCAGAACCACTCCTAGTCCTGCTCCCTACTCCTACTCCCACTACTACTACTACTCCTGCCACTGTTCAATGCTTCCCTCTTCATGTTTCCCTTCCAGGGCCTCTCAATCCGGAACGCGATTTAATGCGCACATTATAAGCAATTACATGGCCAAGCCAGCTGGGAAACTGGCAACTGGCATCAGTTCCATTCCACAACAATTTTGCCACTCCTGGGCCGCATCTAGCCTTCCCCCCATATCCATTTCGATAACTATTTTGGGCGCTAATTGAATCAGCGACTCATGACGGGTGTCGCCCCTTCTCCCCCGAGGGGGTTAAGCGAATGA